GACCATTTAGAAAAGAAATCACACGAGGCGGATTAAATGCCCTGAAGGGATACAACTCTGTTTATAGGACAGTTTTGCTATTAGCTTGCTGACAGCATGCATGGGTTTTATGGCTTGCACATGTACTGAGAGAGAAACCATGGGAGCTGTCATTGGTAGATACAATTGAGAGAAATACTTGTTAGCAAGCATCAGGACACTCAGGTCCTTCTGCAGTATACCTATTTCTAGAGAAGTCCACTACAGCTGACATCACATATTTCACGATATCTAAATGCGATAGATGGACTGTAATCATTTCGTGAGCATAATGATTTGGGTGGAACATTTAGCATAACGTATGGTACGTAACTGTGGAAGGCAGACTTTTTCGCCCTAGATGTCTGAATACATGGGCTTCATTTGCAAAGCAATCGCAGATTAGTGAATATCATTTCGGGAATGTCCGACAGGGGTTATGAAAAACCACACAATCACGGTGTCCCTTACTCTACTATAAACGGTAATGATGGTAATATTTATCCCTGAATATACAGATACATATTATTTTTACAGGCATGAATAAGTTACCATTTGAATTGCATGTATCTTCATGACAGGTAATCTCAATCCCCACCAACTTTGCCACCAGAGGATATAAGTGGTACATGTTTGTATGATGAAACACGTTGGCTGAATAAGTGCGCAAACATTTACGAGTTGAACAAAATGAAAGTATCATCTTCGCATCAACAAAAGAAGCTACGGTTTGTACCTGAACATTAACTGCATTACCTGAGGTAAAATAAAGCCTAAAACGAACGCGGCCGTCGTGACGCCTTTTAATTTCGCTTAGGACAATGATGAAAATTGCACGAAAGAATGTATGCGAGCAGCTTATTCATTATAATAATGATAATAATACATTTCATACGACGTAAGTTACATGAAAACAAACCGGTTTACAGGTCTGATCATTTTGGCAATGTGAACTGACTGTTGTGTACAATGTAAACAAATAAACAAATTTTTATTTTCCCATATGCAATTAACATGAGAGGAGTCAGTTTACAGGCATCATCACATTGATATATGTCAAAAAATCTACAAGATTTTGCGGGTCCTGAATAGTACAGAGATGAGGTCGTCTAACTCCATCGAAAAAATCAGATCGCGGTTACGGGACAAAGAAGATACCACTTTAAGCATTTGAAGTGCGTCAAAGTGAAGATAATATAAATTCTCACCCCCATATAATGGAAATAACTTGACAGATACCAGTTCACAAGCACCATCAAAATGATGATTTTGAAAGTCTACAGAATACTGCCGGGAGTTATGTAACTCACATAGCAAGTTATTGATATGCATAAACTTATTAAAACTTGCTGCAAATCAAGAGATGGGCATGGATTTCCATCTGTCATTACACAGATAGGTTCCACTATCAACGACAAAAGCGTGCAATGTTCGAAAAGGTAACACTTGAAGAGTGAGAAATTTCTCACTCAGGCGTTAACGCCTGCACTTAGACGTTCACCTGGATTAAATGACTGTATGGATGTCTACTTATTCCTGAAATTATTGAAGAAAGTTGTTGTTGGTCAATAGAGCTACGAACATAAGAATTACCGTTAAAGTAGACGTTTATCTGACGAAACACTTGGTCTTGTAGATGGGTCAATCATGTTGACTACTCACAGCGCAAACACCGAATATTGCACCATTTGATGATAAGAAAGAAATGTGAGCAGAAATGACTTAAACTCAGAACGATGTGCATGTACTGTGGTGATATTTTTCCGTTATTTTCACAACATTTAGACATTTGGTATCATGATAGAGCTTAATATCCTCCCTCTGTATCATTCAATACTGCTAAAACCTTTTATGTTTCTCCGCAGTTATCAATTTGATGAGGCCTGTGAACTGGCTTCTCTCATGTTGAATTCGTAACTTGAGAATAAAGATATTTGTTATTATTTATTACTGAGGACGTACTTGGACCTATAAATGCATGAAACAGAGCTATTACAGCCCTCGTATTCCTCCTATACTTATGGGTTGACGATTGCTCACAAGGGTATGATCACTGGTTCCCCCCTCACTATAATGGACTTATGTACACGGGTTCTCTCTCAAAGCTACCACGATACACTCGCGTAGAAAAGTTTTGAGAATCTCATGATGGAAAAATGTGCGGTTAATCACATACAAACATGAAAATGTACACAGAGTTAGGATAGGTCTAAAGGTATAGGAACTTCTCTCTTTTCCAAGTTGGTCTGCGTGGTAATTCCCTTTCCCATATCTACCCGTGCTTCTTCCTTGTTTTTTACTTTACAGCAACGGCTCGATGACGACATTCAATGTTGAATTTCAATCTGAACGTATCTACTAAGTGGAAATAATACGTGATGTTTAACTACATGAATTATTGGACTGCTTCTAATCTTTCGCGGTTCCTAGAACATCTTCACAATCTACTCATCAGCTGGTCAGGATTCTTCTTGCGACGAACCGTCTAAAGTTTCCCAACAACCATAGTGGCACGAATATTCTGAACAAATGATCAGACGAGAGACCAATACACCTTTTGGCTCGGAATGTGACTTACCTGCAGTAATTTCACGCCACATGTCCTATGGTACTCTGTATCAAGTGATTTTTTTAAGTAAAAGCTACCATGCATCAAATACACTTCTCGAATGATGCTGCTTACGCTAATATGAACGATGCCTGAAGTCCATATATAACTGCTACCGTTTCGGCTATTAACCGTCAGGACACCTACCTTCATTTACCACTAGAAATACTCCCAGTGGAATTAATGTATACTACCTTTAAGCCACATGGTGAACTGGAAATGCATGGATTTAGACACTCACCTTGGTTATATAACTGTGGATACTTACTGATACTCCAGATCACATAAATAGGCCCTTTGTTGCTAGCAGAGCTTAAAACTGAAGGACTTTCTAGTGAATGGATGTTTACATTACTAAATAAGAAAATATGCAAATAGACTAACAAGGTGGTTTAGTTATAACGCGAAACTTCGAACATTGCACGCTTTTGTCGTTGATAGTGGAACCTATCTGTGTAATGACAGATGGAAATCCATGCCCATCTCTTGATTTGCAGCAAGTTTTAATAAGTTTATGCATATCAATAACTTGCTATGTGAGTTACATAACTCCCGGCAGTATTCTGTAGACTTTCAAAATCATCATTTTGATGGTGCTTGTGAACTGGTATCTGTCAAGTTATTTCCATTATATGGGGGTGAGAATTTATATTATCTTCACTTTGACGCACTTCAAATGCTTAAAGTGGTATCTTCTTTGTCCCGTAACCGCGATCTGATTTTTTCGATGGAGTTAGACGACCTCATCTCTGTACTATTCAGGACCCGCAAAATCTTGTAGATTTTTTGACATATATCAATGTGATGATGCCTGTAAACTGACTCCTCTCATGTTAAATTACTAATGTGAGAGTGAAGATTCATTATGTATTACTATTAGCTCTGCTTTGTCTTTTCTGTATAGAGTGTTGACAGCTGGCTCTGTGACCTATATTGGCTTCTTGGCGTCGCACTGGAACTTGGTTACTTGCCATTTCTCAGCGTCGGGTATGCAGGGTCTGCTGAGGCCTATTCCAGAGGCCCTGACGCTGACAGACACAGAAAAGAATTGCATCGGATTCTGTTTAGTCTCTCCCAATGATCAGGTCTCCGATTCGGGTATGACCTGCAGCCTGCACGGTTCCGTGGTTGGCATCAAGAGTGGTTCACATATGTTTCTTTCAGCCGAAGTAGATCTAGTCTTACCGTGAGTAGTTTTCAGACTCCGTTTGGCAGCTCTGGGGATGTGAGAACCGGAAGATGCTAGATTCACCCTGTTTGGTGAAGCCCTTTTATAATCTGTCGACAGGTTCCGTCAGTAAATTCCACTTCCCGTTTTCTTGGTGATGGTTTCTCATCCTTCTTCATAGGTTACCAGCTTCTGATGTCCCCATACATAAAGAAAGACATAGCCATCCTAGAACGGGTTCAGAGAAGGGTCACGAAGGAAGTGATCTGGTTACGGCATTGTAGCGTCACGCACTTCTCAAACATCAATAGCCTAGTGTTTGATAAGATTCAACATTGATGCTGGTCTTGGTAGTTTAAGTGGACTCGCTAAGCTGAAGGCACCTGGTCAAGCATCCTTGCCATTCGGCACGCTGTCCTGCTACGTTACACTGTTTGTAACCGACTCTCTGCAGCCAGTTAGTTGGAACGCATCTGTATCTTGCCCCAACCTCGCAAATATACTACTCCATCCGACTAAGCTGTTGTGTTCTTTCTTGGACTCGTATTCATGGGTGTATAATAAGTTCAAATAATTAGTGGTTGGCCTCTGCCTCTGTCAAGTTCGCACCATGACGATTCCTGAAGTGCAAACCTTGCCTGAACCGCTTAGTTGCTCTTTATCTGCACCTAGCACAACAGCGGAGGATCAGAGGGGATATGGTCATGACGTACCATATTTCCCATAATCTTCTTCAACCGAACAGGTTCCTCTCAAGCTTCAGTCAGAAACCTCACTTCAGGGGCAACCTATTAAGAGTGGAGCAAGAGAGATCCGTTCTAACTCGTTCGTGGTTAGAGTTTGTAGTCTGTGGAGCTCCCTTCTTTCAGGAGTTTTTACAGCCCCATCCCCTGATACCTACCAAAGGAGGTTAGATAAACATTTAGAGTTTCATGTCACCGACGGGCTGCACTCAGAAGCTGCCACTTATGGACCAGGAGGAGTAAAATAAATAAATAAATAAATTGATTACCTCTGTCGTTTCAGGTTTTCGGGTAGCCGAAATGCAATCCTAACTATTAAAAACCTGGAAAATACTCCAACAGGACAAACACAGAACTCGAAGAACCATCGCTCACTGATTCAACAACACGGAACTTGTCCTAAGTAAGAACAAGTGTTTAAGTGCACCATAATGAGCATTTTGTGAGCAGCGGATCAAGAAATATGACTTTGTATGGTCGCGTTTTGAATGTGAATATTGAATTTCCGGATACGTACACTACTTCTGTATTAGCATTCGCACTTTTTTGTTCAATTGATTATTTTTTCCGAACGTATCGTACTGAAAATAAAGATGTGCAAAGTACGTACGCCTTCACCCGGTTTCGAAACTATTCCATTTCTGTTATCCATGCTGTGATATCTGGACTCAGTTCTCTTATTTGGTGAGTTCGTTGCTGTAAATAATAGGAACATTAGCCTCTGCGCTTATCCGAATTTGGTTCATAACATAATCGAGTCAGAAAATGTGTATGCTTACCATATTATAGGATTTGCAACAGGTATAGTGTGATTTTGAGCGCACATTAACAGGATACTTCATTCACGATATATACCACAATATTTGTGGTGGTGTTGATTTGAGATCTGTGGAGATCATATTCCACCACATGACAGTAATCAGTCCTCCTTCATTTCTACAATTATTATGTTTTAGGTGTTGACCTGCTTTTACGTCGTATCTTGTTACCGCATTCTTGTTTGTTACGCACTACTTGGCCTTTTGATGGAGCTGAATAGTATATTTCTACATGCTAGACAAGTGATGAAATTTTTAAATATCGCTCCTGAATCACTAACTTACCGCATGAATGCTGTCGCGAACATTAGTAAGTCACTTTTTTCTCTTTTTTCATCATTGAAAACAATGATATGTTTGACAAATTTGTTAAGTTCAAACTGCATAGACACTGGTCATCAATATTATTTGTAGGGCTAGTCGTTGAATTCGCCCGTTTGCTGTCTTCAAAGGTTAACCTAATCTCTCCTCATTTTAGCTTCTCAGTTCCATGAAAATTCCACTTACAATTTTCTTTCTTTCTTATTAAACCCATATCATGTGCAAGTGCAACTATTTTCCTTTCTACCACCATTTTCATTTCTCAGATTGGCTTCATTAGTGTCTTTTGGCCACTTCCTATTCCTATTTGTACGCCAAGTTTGTCATGTTGATATAGAAAGAAAAAAAACACATTTGTATTAAGATTTATTGATTGATAAGCCTACTGAGATTCTCAAAAATGGTGTGTAGACTGACTCGATCATTAGTTAAAGGAGTTATGATGTCGAAAAAGTATGTGGGTAAAGTGAACTCGGGTCAGGATTTTCATTTTTTGCTAGTCGTTGTATATTGTTCCCATTACGGTATTATTACTTTAATCAGCTTCCCTACACAACCGAATAACACATAACCGACTGCAATCTCTCGACTTTCCTAATGTTCATTGTATTTTGCATCACTTGACAAGACGGGTTTTCCACTTTTACGTTTCACTTTTACTGTCTAGTCAAAGAACTAAGATTGACTGCGTGAGGTTGTTTCAGTTTTTATGCTGGCAATCTCGTCATTTGATGTTTCGTAAAAATTCTGCATAGCCATCAGATAAACTTAAATCCTGTTTGATTACTACTTGAAAATAGGTTCTTCAGAGCATTAACTTCTATCTTCAGATTGTTTATCCTCTCACGTTACTTTACCTACTTTGAAGTCACCTCTTTTCTACCTGCCTATTCTTTGTTTACCACCTTGAAGTGTAGCAGCTTGAGCCGATGCACCTATGTGCGAGGTTCTACATTGATTTCGTCAGTCAATTGTTCAGCTCAAATTATTATTATTTGTCCCTTGGGTTCCTAGTGGGACATAGGGCTTCAGTAGCACGTCTCCAGTGAACTCTCTCTTCTGCAATCTTTCAACCCGCCTCCACGACAGCCCACAAGCTCTCATTTCTCTCTCGTACGATCTCCTCCATATCACCCTCGGACGCCCAACTCGTCGCTTCCCATCTAGCTTCCACTCGAACAACTGGCCTGACGCATGATGTCCCCAGTCGGCCTCCTCAGTGTATGCCCAACCCATCTCCACTTCCTTTTGCATATTTGTTGAGAGGTAGGTTCTTGGTTGGTTAGTTGCTAGGCCAGAGTTCCTTGTTGCTTATTCTCATTATTCTGACCATCTGAGCTTCAGTAACGAGCCAACGTAGGCAGTTGTTGATGAATGTGTGTAGTTTGTTGGAAATCCCTTTCGTAACGCGCCAAGTCTATGAACCATCACACAGAAGCACTGACTTGACTGAATTGGTGTTGAAAATCCGTATCTTGTTCCACATGCTGAGTGCAGTGAAGCAGATCTTCACACTGGTTTCAGGCTAATGAACGCCTATCTCGCTTTTCCGATCCTGGCTGGCTTTGACGTCCTCGTCTGTGCCGATGCCGCCTGTAGTTGAAACAGTGCTGCCTAGATAGGTGAGAGAGGCTACTTCCTTTAGGTTTCCCCCGTTGATGGTGATTGGAGCTTATTGTTGATGGTGTTGTTGGTTGGTAATCTTCATCACCTCTGTCTTCTCTACGTCCACTTGAAGTCCCGTCTTCGCTGCCAGGCCCCTTCTGTCAACTTGTTAGTTTTCGCCTGTAGATCTTCAGGTTTGTGCGACATTGGACACAAGTCATCGGCGAAATCCAAGTCTTATGGGTTCTTTTCCGCGGTCCAGCCAGCGTATCCTCCTCTTCTCGCTCCTCACAGTTTGTTGCATGACCTAGTTCACTACAATCAGGAATATCATGGGTGATGGTAGACAGCCTTGTTTTACTCCTGTCTTCACTTCAAAAGCATCACTGAGCTTCCCATTGTGAATTACTTGGCATGTGGCGTCTTCATATAGTTGTTGAATGAGGCTGATAAAGGTTTGCGGTATTCCGTAGTGTTGAAGCAGTTTCCAAATTACTTGTCGGTCGACGCTGTTGAAGGCCTTCTCAAAGTCGATGAAGTTGAGGTAAGGTAGAGAGTTGACTGCCATTCTATACTCTGTTCTATGATGATGCGTAGTGTAGCGTTGCAATTTGGTCTGCACATGATTTGTACTTCCTGAAGCCTGCCTGTTCCAGTCGTAGTTTTGAATCCAGCGCGTCATTTAGTCTCTATAGGATGATGCGGCTAAATATTTTGCTTGGGGTGGACTGGAGCGTGACTCCGCGACAGTTCTCGCAAAGACTTAGATCGCCCTTCGGGAGTTTGACAAGGTAACCCTTCTCCCAGTCTGCAGGTACCTTCACTTCCTTCCTGACCTTCTACAATAGTGGTGTGAGCGTCTGTTATCAGTGCTCCTGGTGGGATTCCATCTGGTCCTGCTGCTTTCCCGCATTTCAGTAGTTTTATGGCGCCCAGGATTTCGACTTTTGTTGGAGGATCTATGTTCACTTGTAGTTCTGTGGCTGCAGGTGCTATTTCTGGAAGAAGTGCGGGTGGTGGTCGTTCAGCTTAAATGCAGTATATTAATTTTGATAACTCCACTTTTTCACGTTCTTGGAAATCCTTCTTTTGTTTTCTTTTGTACAACTTTTCTTGATTTGAAGATAGTCGTTTTATCCCAACCATTTGCTCACTTTGTGTTTTGGCTTTTGTAGCTCTTAGTATGACAAAACAGTAGAGCTGTGGCTTATTAGTTTAGGCATTTTACTTCCAAACAGTGAGCCATGGGCTGGAAAATCGTTTCATCTTCTGAGGTTTGGCCAGCCAGGTAGTATTATTAACCCCCTACGCAGTAGGTATGGCTCATTGTCTACTACACAAATGTGCACAAGGTTACTGAGTACGATTCACTTTTGAGTTTGAAAATCGGTTTCATGAATGATGCATTGTTGCATTCTTTGTTCAACATACATATATTTTTGAGCTATCCTCGCATATTCATCCCTTATAGATAAACTTAACAATAGCTCCCTTCATTGTTACTCACGAAGTGTTGATTCATCAGTTCAGCATCCTGTTGTCAGCTAATGAAACATAGATTCTGAATACTCAACCTACCGAATTCCAAGCCACCTGAAAGAACCACTATTGCTCACTCAACAGATATAGCTTATAGCTTACTGCAATAGCCTATACAACATTACTGAAATACACTAATATTATTATTACCAACTACTACATCTAGAATATCTAATGCTGCATACCCTAACTGTATTTCTAGGGACTTTTCCCCATAATGATTCACTCGGAAAAATTTCTAGTCATTAAAAATATGTACACCATATGTTACTACCCATTCATTCTGTTATGACACTTCGTTGGTGAAGTCTTCATTTGTTATCATTTTATTACTCTTTTCATTTTTCGGTTTTTCTAATTTGGTTCATTCCCCAAAACCAACTAATATAATGTTCGTATGCTCATTCCAGCAGCACTTCACTGTTTGTATTGCCGATACCGAAGCTATGCATTTCTTTTTATCACTTTCAATAATTATTCGTTCCTAATGAATATTTTACCCGTGAGAGTATCTCAAATATTTACTAGATGTCTTGCTTACTTTTGTGTCATATTAATAATAATAAATCAGAAAGTAAATTGACGCATGACATTTCAGTCCCTTTTAAAAAGAATTAATAAAAAATGATCATCATTTATTACCAGCAATAACTGTTTTCCTACCACTACCACATTGGAATATTGATAGGCTGTTTATACTTCACCCACACACCCGGTTACCAGAAATGGAATAAACACCATAGAAACCTACGCAACAGTCACTTCCTTGATCATATCAATTATACCCTTCAGCATCGTCAAAGGAAATATTAAAGCAAACCGAAAGAATGATTTTGGTGGAAATTAAGCAACTGGATTTAATCTGTGTTTGAAGTTTAAATGGAAGAAGAAGGGTGAAAAAATCTGGACTATGTGGCTTATTTCAGGATAAAAGAAAACTATGAGGCTTAGTTTCCGTACTGTGGGGATATGCTGATAACTTTAATTTTGATACCAAAATTCACTTGTTACAAACTTTAAGTGAAGCAGTTGCTTGTGACAAACTCGAAACTCACTCTTGTTATTTTTAAGATTGAGATAAAATTAAAACGTGTAATGAAAACATATTTTTGTTATAAATGCTATGTGACAGTATCACCGTAAACACTAGTTTCAAATGAATGTTTATAATGCTTGTAGAGGTGTGTGAATTCTCTAAATGATCTTTAATTCGGTCAAAAACTGGCTGATTACTTAACAATTTTGTAGACGACTCATTTACATAATAATCTTGTGATCTACTTTCTTTTTCTATTATAACATAATTCCTCTAGATACAGTCCGAGAATACAGTTGATTACAGCTATGATTTGATAAACTCCTATCTACGATTTGAACACTCAATTTTAAAACTTATGGACTGTAGATTACATAGTAATACATTACTTACCTGGGTTCAAATAAGATATCATCTGTCATTATCACGCAGTAGCTTTGACTTAGTCTTGTAGGTGGATACATATGCGCGTCTAAGGAAGTGAATGCTTTTTCAACATACGTTGTGACTCCAAAAATCAATGGTTATCTACCTAATGCATGCAGAATAAGAACTATGTATTATGGGTTTTAGTACTATGAAAATGTAAGTAATTTGACAGGATGTACAAAATTTAAATGGGGAAATGCTCATTACATTGATTCCGACTCAAAAATTCTGTCGAAAGCGTGAATGTGTATATCTTTGTTAAATGATTTCGTTACTTTTTTTTTACCGTATCTAAAATCCTGGAAATTTTAGGGTTGAAGAGGGAGACGCTTCTTTAAAAATTTAATAAAATTCTTCTCTTTAAGGAATATGAATAAAACAATAACAATAATTACAGAATTAGCAGGCATATATTTCTGGTGGTTTACAACCCATCACCATTATACTGCTTACGATGAAAAACCAAGAAATTAAACGTGCTTTCATAAGTCGACAAGAATCTTTTAGTTGAGATAAGAGATAACAAAGATGTAGGGTTACCGAAACTGATGAACTTTGATGTTGTAAGGCTGCTTTAAGATTATTTGTACAGTAAAAAATAGAATAAACATTCTACTCCGTGTCTTCAAAAGGGATGAGGTTGCCACAAGGTTGAACCATAGACTGAGGGCTGTATAGAAAACGACCTACCCAAACACCAAATCTTCGAGGTCCACGGAGTTCAAATAGTACAATCACTCGGGGTTTACTTGATACTGGACGTAATGTCAATATATCAAAATCATTCGAAATGATCAATAAACAACTGAAACACAACCTTTATCAGCTTGCTGAAGCATTTTCAATTGAAAGACTCAACTCTGATCTATTTATTCAGAAAGATAAGAAGGTCAGTCTGCCTTTAAGTTAGTAATTTTAATCCTCTAAAGTTGTAACCACAGAATTTCAAGACCTCATGATCCTCTGTTTGTTTCATTTTCTCTTTCGATCTATTTCAAAACTTTTTCTCGCTTTCTAAGTTGTAATCATATTATTACCCACTAAAGTGAAAATCTTTTAATCATTCATAACACCTACTTAATTTTCATATCATTTTTACTAGTTTTAGAATAACACTATGTACAATCTCATCTCATTTCTTAAACTTTCTGTAGAATGTTAGTCCTATCATGCAGCGCACGAATAGTTAACCTTTGAGTAGTTTGAGAACTTCATCAAAGTCCATCAATTTTGGTCACTCCACATCTTCGTTATCTTCCATGTCAATCGAAAGATTCTTGTCGATTTATAAAAGCACGCTGTGTATCTTGCTTTTTCACCATAAACAGTATATCCCATGGGTTGTAAGTCAGCTGAGTATCCGTAAAATACATGAATGCTAACCATGCTACCATTGTTCTCCTTGCTTTATTCGAATCTTAATGTGACTGTGTAATGATTGAATCCTTAAACGCAACCATTTTGATACATCTTCCATACTTATTTTATTGACTGCATCTTTCACTGTTGTGTGATCGTAGGGCTGTTGAAATGACATTTCATAATTAGTGTAATTTTGAGTGTTCATTCTGCATCTCAATATCGTTTTCTGTAGTAACTATTCTAGTTTGGGATCAAATATTGAGGGTTGGAGAACAATGGACAACGACTATCGTAATCTCCAACTACGAACCTTTATTACTATTGCAGAAGTAATCCAATCAGAATCTCAGTGAATAGAATTGTTATTTCAAATTGTTGAGTGTTTTTCATACCTGATTATGACTGTGTATGGGAGATATTTTTTTGACGGATTTTCGACGAGTACAGTCTATTAACTTCTGCCTATTACTTCAGCCATAGTAAAAGAAACTAATGAAATGTATTCATTAATAAGTGTATATAGTGTTCACCCACTTATTGAGTTCAGAGGTAAGATGTTGTTAAGCTATTCACAGTATACAATAACGTGTTTTCTTCATTATAAAAGAATACATTCCCAATCTCTCCCTTCTTTAACTTTTTGAACAGTTACATTCATCATCTTTCGCATATGTCTTACACTATCCCTTCTCGGATGGGCAGTTTTAAACAGAAACAAATTACCCGTCGTTGTCAGTTGGATCCTGCTCTCAAGTTTCACGATATTTACAACAATGAATTTGGTCCTATTCTTTCGTGTTTTAACCGTGGAATGGCGTATATTACAGTCAACTCAGTGTAAACTTGCTGTAAATAATAAAACGAAGTGATTTTCCACTAAAGAATTATGCCGAATTGAACTTGAGTATTACCATGTTGTCGCTGTTTCCCCGTGTTTTGACTGTACATCGTATTACTAGTCTGTGGTGCACCAAATCTGCAACATTTAATGTAATTTTCAAAGCTGAAAAATCCCCATCTTTTACTGTTTTTCAATGATACTCACTTTTAGATGGAAGGTGTTTAAATATTCTGGGTAGATATTACATTTCGTTGAAGCAGTTATACATCGTGTAAATTGTTTCTTTTGCAAATTATCATCAATACTTTTATCCTATGTCTTTCATATGCTCATATATGTATTGCCGGTCATGCTATTGCTGCTAATGATGATCATTACTAATTGTATTAGGAGTATTACACCTATTATTGTCATAATAACAATATCATCTTGGGATATTTTATCAACTCAATTGTACAACTCATTATATGCAAAAAGTTCAGTTCCATGTATTTTAGAGAACAGAATAAACATCATGTTCAACACTTGACACTCTCATTCTTGTAGATGAAGATTATAATGTTATCAGCACTAAATATACTGATTTTTTCCATATTTGTAGTAGTTAGTGAGAAACAATAACTTTATGACGTCTGTATAAGTCTCTGCTTTCAAGGTTTTTTGATAAAATTCATCGAATAAATAATAATGATAACAATAGTGTTTTCCTACTAATTTGTTGTAATTTTCTGCGTTTTTTAAAATAAGACTGAAGCAATGTAAAGCTGACTGTTTGATATTAGTCGCTCGAACAGACTATTCATCTATTATATCCTTTCACATAAACTACTTAGGATTCGTAAGAACATAGTTATCAACTGATTATAACTCGACGTTATTTCACTTAAGTGGTATGTGTTTGCAGCGCATCGAGGGGCACCAATGATGACACCTAGGCTGATGTCCAGAAATGTTACCTTACACAACCTAAGGTTGAATGGCAATAAGATTAAAAATTCCTATTATAATTCAAAAGCCATTTGAGTGAATAAGGAATATTCTTTTCGATAACTTCTTCAGGTCCCACAGTTATATATACATATTGAGGAGTTACATGTCAACAATGTAAAGATTCCGCTTATCGGTTTGTCAGTGATTTTATACAGTCGAGGAAGTCATTCGAAAAAAGTCGTAGGATTCAATTTAGAATAATTGATTATCTTAATGATTGTACGGCTTGTGAGGTGATAGCTTAATAAAATAATAGGAAGAGGTGTTTATGACAACTGGATGAAATAAACTAATGAGGACAAAATAGATTAAGAGGATTTGTCAAATTATTTCAGATTATAGGGAAGAAAGTGTATCTACAGTATGGAGTTAGATTATCTGGGATAGGATTCTAATGAGTTTGGGCATGCCGAAACGAGTCACGGTAATTGTAGAGGTAATACTTGCTTATTTTGAACACACAACTCGGGTTGTTTGTTCGTGATTGCTACTGCTTCTGCAGTTTGAAGTATCCTTAGCCAAGTGCATTTTGGGGATGGAATGGAAAACAACTGATTCACATCCACTTTATGGTTTATTTCAACCAAATGTGCTAATATGGAGCTGACAATAATCTTTACCACTCTAGGTGTTCGTGAGCACGGTAAATCGAATTCCTAAAACAGCGGCCGACGTTAATGGCTCCATAGAAGCAGTCGAACTCGTAAACACAACGATTATCATGACTCGATTCGGCATGCCCAAACTCATTAGAATCCTATCCCAGATAATCTAACTCCAAACTGTAGATACACTTTCTTCCCTATAATCTGAAATAATTTTGACAAATCCTCTTAATCTATTTTGTCCTCATTAGTTTATTTCATCCAGTTGTCATAAACACCTCTTCCTATTATTTTATTAAGCTATCACCTCACAAGCCGTACAATCATTAAGATAATCAATTATTCTAAATTGAATCCTACGACTTTTTTCGAATGACTTCCTCGACTGTATAAAATCACTGACAAACCGATAAGCGGAATCTTTACATTGTTGACATGTAACTCCTCAATATGTATATATAACTGTGGGACCTGAAGAAGTTATCGAAAAGAATATTCCTTATTCACTCAAAAGGCAACAACATTACAAGGATGATCTTGTTTACTGTTAGAGAAGTGAGTGAATGATATGCTTTGAAAGTGAAATACATGAAATAGTTCGTATGACAATAGCAGTGAAAAAAGTGTAACATTCTTTTAGATGAACGTTGTTTTGACAAGTTAATTAGGTGACTAGGAAATAAAAAATTTAAGGAAAGTGAGGAGTAAGAAACGACTTACAACTAACAAGAAAATAAATGTCTAGTGGAGAATAAGATGAATATATATGACTGTAAATAACTGATTGCAGACACAAAAACTCGTTACACAAGTGGATGGTTCTCAATTATTTTTTCTTTGACATTTTTCGAAAGGAAGGCCGAGAGTAGATCAGTAACCAGAAGTTTGAAAGTGAATCTATTATTTTCCCTAAATTCCACCGTCTATGGGAAGTTGGAACATCGTTCACAAAGATGTCCGAAGCACCACATGTTGTAGATTGTTTATAACTAGGTCTATTTGAGCCCTAAATAGTAGTCTTCCATGAAAATGTAATATTTTTCCTAAAAAACATTTTAATGAAGGCCAAGTATTTTTTTGTGCTTAGTAAAGAAATAAGTCCATGTGGAATGAGGTGTAAACTTATATTTAGGCGAGTACTTTCACTTCTATACTAATCATCAAATGAAATACTTGACGTTCAGATTTTATTGAAATCATGCATATTTCTTTTGTTCACCTAAGAATTCTAATTTCTAGCCAAGATAAGGTTTGCTTTTCGCATTTTGTTAACCTTTATTTTTATTTCTATATTCAAAATGAGTCGAGCGGTAGTACACTTGGAGAGTTGATTTTCACAACCGAAAGCCATGGTTAACTAACCTCTGAGGTGCCTATGTTGAATGAGTGAAGTCAATGATCATTACTTTTTTCCATTTCCGTCTTATTTCATCACCGATATATTTATGAAGGTCACCCTGTCCTGAATTCAAAAAGATGAGTCTGTTAACAAATTCCATAGTTGAATTGGATTATAAAAGTAAAAGTGTCGTTAAGTGAAAACAGTAATAGCACAAGAAGTCTTCTAAACACCTAATTACAACTCTAGAGTTTAGAGTGCGTTTTTCCTCCTTTGAGCGTAAACGGTTGCTTTAACAGACTGGTCTACACCGTTTGATAATGGTGGATCAAGTGGTTAAATTAGCAGCGTTATGCTGGTTGCCAACGAAATCTTGGCGTAAATATAAAGTAGTCGGTTGGATTTTGCCTAGCTGTGCTACTTATAGCACCAACTGTAGGTTGAATGTTATGCTAAACAGTGTCCTCTGTTTTACTAAATGGCCACTATTCGTTAACAAACTGACACATTTTGGTGAAGATCCTATGGTCAGTTTTCTGTCTGTTTCATGTAAAACAATAAGTAGTTTTCTCTACTCAAATCCATGACTACCAGTTATTGTAATGCCAAAGTAGGTGGATTTATGTTGTCAGAATAAGAATAAGAGACGCTGCTTTTTATCCAACTCATACAAACCTGGTGGGTATTAAAGCAAAAGTAATTTCATCAAAAAAAACTTTGATTGAGTAAAACATAAATTCACTGACTTTCATGATAAACACTGACAAACAACGTGAAAGCGAAAATAACTGCTCAACGATTCAGTTTGCTAAACTTTTCATCAAGATTTCAAAGCTGAGGTCAAAAAGCAGAAACAAAAGAAGATGAGAACGAAAAGAAAACTGGGATGAACAACAATACTATGTAGATGATACCATAACTGTGTTTATGCTGGTAAGATCGATCCTGAGTTATATCAAATGGTCTGCATCGGTGTCTGTTGTATCTCGAAATCTAACCAAGAAGCTGATATCCCCCTATGCAACTCAAATAAAAAATCAGGGCCTTTTTGGTTTTTTATCATGTCTAAGTTTGATCACTTTCAGGTTTTATTCAAGTAAATCCTACTCCTGACTCAACTTAGTTCGCTGCTAGAGAACCTATGTGTAGACGTGTAACACGTGACTGAAATACTCCAAACGGTGAAAGTTGAATGAAGTCAGCGACGGTCAAATACCTAAAGCTGTGTCATATCCTGCGCCACTCAGTTGAAGTCCCCACACATTTTAGCGTCGCAAAAAAAGAAATTGAACAGAAAAAGAATGATATTGAAATAAATAAACATTCATTGGATGAGAGGCAATACATAAGTGAAAACTACTGAAAGTGTTTAAAAATTTGACAATGACAAAGAGTATATATATTCACTCTATTGTAACCCAATCCTCTCTTCCAAATCGAAGACCATTTTAGTCTGTTTATTAGAAATATCACAGTGAAACAGTAGCATCTACTGGATAGCGATGTTCCCGACACAATGTAGTAAATTACTACGTCGAAAAGAAAACGTTTTCTTCTCTGCAACCGCGTCTTGTCGTTACCGAAATACGGAAAGATTTATCCGTCAGTAATGTAGAAATAAATGAGTGGGTAAAGTGCATTAGATGTTGACTGGTGTCATAAATCTGCCCCCAGAAAACCTCTTCTAGATAGCTCTGAAATTGCTCAAACATTCCTAAATCAAGCAAGCATTTTTTTGCTGCATCGAAATTGCATTGTTAGGTAAGCTTTGAATTCACGTAGTGTAAAACGAAGCGATATATGTAGAAAACATTAGTAGAGAGTCCAGGTAGTCAAATATTTATTAAACACAACTGATAGATATTTGTCCTTTACTATACATATACAGATAGCCAGCTGATGAACTATTGTTTCCTTATGAATCTTACTACAAGCCTGCTCTTTGCAAGACTGCCTTACTGGGTATTTCACATCCGGCACCGATTTTCTGCGGTAAATTTCACTAAGAACAAAAACCATTTTTTTAATAGAGTAGTACATTATGCATACAATATTTTTGACGACAATAAAACTGGATAAATGTTATGCGTAATA